TGCTATAACGGGCAAGCTTACCTAACAGGGTAAAACTATATAAAGAGGTGAGGAGACTTGCAGCAGATACAGTACAAAGATGGCCGAGGTACATACAGAGGAGAGGGGGACATGAGGTAGCTACAATAGTAAGAGAATAGAGCTGACCTGAATTGGGTTGTCAGCAGATCATTTCCCCATTTTGCGAGTTGGGTTTGAGGCTATAGCTAATCTACACCAGGTAATAGTTGAGATGAACTAATTTCCCTTTGCGGAGTATAGAACGAAATGCAAAACCAACCTTGCAACACTAACTAGTATGTCATCGTCTTGCTTCTATTTCGTTTCAAGCGTTATTAATTTTTGTTCGTTATCCCAGATGGACGCATCTAGGAATAACACTTCACCACCATGGCAACAATGTACGGAACCAACTTTAAGGCTCCAAATATATACATGTATTACGACATACATGCCTCCAACTGCCAGGAACTACTGACCTACTGAATTATGCATTTTATTCTTGTTTTCGTAATTGGCGACTAATATTGTTTCCCTGCAGAAATGGGAGTTTTCTTTAATGTTTTCTGCTAGACATTGAGAAAAACAACAACATTGATCTGATGGCCCCTTTGCATTACCTATCTTGCCCTACTTCAGCATACTAAATAGCCCTATCAGCCACGCAGATAAACAAATGAGGTATAATGTTATATGCTTTACTGGGATATATACTAATGTATGTATGAGAGTCCTGACTGAATAAATTGTTTATATAAAACATCTTCTGCATACAATGCGTCTAGTGTTAGCATTGCTGTGAATAAGGTTCGGACAACATTACCTTGATTTTGGGTATCAAAAGATTAAGCCCTGCCATGAAATAGGCATGTTAAGGAATTAACAATGGGTTCAAGTTTCAAGTTTTTTTTTATTTCCGAATGCAAATCAGCATATAGGTTAATTGATACATAGAATACAAAACATATTTCAAATTTTCAAGATGGCGGAGGACAATTCCATGTAAGCGATTATCACATAAAAAGAATACATAATTTAGCAATATTACTGCACGAGGGTTTTTCTTTTGGCGGTAGCATATTTTAAATACAGACCCAATCTACGTAATGTTTTAATACTTTTACATGACAATAATTCAATTAATGGATACACACTGGGGCATCGAAAGTAATATTGCTTAATGTATGTGTTTCTCAATACAGAGTAAGCAGGACAAATAAGAATAAAATGTATCTCATCTTCTAAATCATTTTGTCACAGGCAAAACATAATCTTTGACCTCTCGGAACCCCATTATAACGTCCAGATTCGATATTAAGTTATTGCCTTGTTGTTGTCCGGTGACACTGACAGGAAGGTTAGAGAATATCTGTTCTTAATGTTTCTAATATGTTCCACGAAATAAACTACAGCTCTGTATAGACAAAAATGTCAGCTAGCATGGGTTACACCACATGTGACCTTAAACACATGTCCCCAGATCCCAGACACTTGGATTAAAAACCAGGATTGTTGATGAGAGTGGATTCCGCTTGATAATATGCAGTGTATTGAATATGAAATGAATAACATATTGTTGGATAATTCCTTTACATTGTCTTCTACAACGCTTTTGTTTAAGACAAATGCATATTGATAAATAAATAATAATAATATACAACATTTGATATAGCGCCCTATCTAGCTAACATAAGCCACTCTAAAGCGCTTTACAGTACATAGATATACAATGTTGATCGATATTGATGGTCTTTTTGGTTACATTAAGTGTCCTATATATTCAACCTTGATATAACTTTACATTGATTTGAGAAATGTAAATGAAATGTCTATCCTTTTTATTGATATTGATGCTTTGATTGACATATGACATTTGATAACTTATATTTAACCTTTGGTACAATTTGACATCATTATGAAATATGCATTTGAAATTTATCATACATTGTTTATATATATATATGATTGAAGATCGAATTGACCTATGCCCTTTGGTGACCTCTATATTGAATGTAAGTGTAAGTCTGTGTTGCAATAAGATGTGCACATGAAAGGTTTGCCATGTTGATCGATATTTGATGGTCATTTTCACCTACGGGGTTAGATTACGATGGAAATGTTTTACAAGTACTTTACTTTTTTAGTGTTATAGTAATTTTGGTCGTTAATGTCGCCAAGAAGTTCAAATGTTTTAGTTTATTTCAAAGTTTGATAAGTGAGATGTACATCTCATTGTACGGCAATTCCGGATTGATTGAATCCAAAACCCGGACGGTCAACTGCTGTACCTGAGGGGAAACGGCTTTTGTCACGTACATAAACATAGTAGCATCCCGAACTCCAAAGAAATGTTGCAAAGATTTCCCGTTCGGGTTTTGGATACGATGAATCCGGAATGGCTGTTATTTGCAACGGTTTTGAATCGGAAGAAAAACCTAAAATTTGTTTTAGTTTAAACATATTTTATTGACAACATATTGACAAAGGGATTAGTCGGTAAGTTTTTCCATATTATCAATTGACTTCTCCCGTAATACAGACAAATATAATAAATATAATAATACACACATGATGGTAAGAAAATAAATATGTTATTAGAGAGAGAGAGGAGAGAGGGTGGGGTTGGGGTACGGTAAGAGAAGAACCCCTAATTTGTCATTAGGGGTACGTGACTAATGGCCTCTTGATCGGTCTTCCATCCTGGAAGCATCCTCGATATCCGGGGATTACGTTCACTTTCGCTCTCTACACCCCTGGAATATGTCATAGCAAAATTGAAGGCACGAATATAGCTGTTTGATCGGTCTCAGGTAAAAGAAAAACCTGACCAATCGCTAGGCTGATACCTGTCCGTTGAAGATTACAAAGGAGAGACGCCCTTTTACCGTTACGTGACCGCGAGATTCTTTTGATGTATATCAAAGGATCGAACTAGTCTCTTTGTATCTTTCAAATGTACACGTCTTAAATATATTTGTAAATGTTTCAAGCTACATACATATATACCTATATCAATTAATAGCCATATTAGACTGTTTCGTTGAGCATATCCACATGCTAATAATTGCGTACACAGGGACTTGACACGTTCCTATGACCAAGAATGAAAAACAATCCCTTTCATGCTGGGTCATAGGAACGTGTCAGGTCCCTGTGATTGCGTATATGTATTCACAACATATGCAAAAATGGCATGATTTTTTTTTTATACCGGCAGCATATATTTGCCGGTATAAGTATTTCCTGTCTTGATAAAAACTAAACAGTTTTAATTGTAATTGCAATATTTATTCAATATTGAACAAAAACTTAATAAAAACGAAAACAATTAGGCATTAATTTCCGGGGAATTTTCTCCATAGATACGCTCCATCGAGAGTAACACTGCAGCTGACATTCGTGTATCTAACGTCACTGTACCCAACACTTTTTAGATAAATATCAATGTTCTTTATACAATACTATACTATCAGTTCCAAAAATGTTTGGTCATTTTTCATAAATAGATGCTATGCACTTTTCATTTTTATCACAATATGATATTTCGGGCGCGTGATTCTATAAAAAGAACGGGAAATACCATCAGAGTTACGTAGGCCGTTGGACCGGCGGTACTGTACCCTGGAAGGGACACTTCTGGTATTTTGGCGAATATTTGGGGATAAACGATAAATATCGGCAGGAAATAAAATATGCATAGTTGAAATATGTATGAGTCAACGAGGGTTCTGATTAAGTTTCTTCTCCAAACTCTCATTGGTTTTGATAAAATAGACTTTTGAAAATGATATCTAAATAAATAGCGACGCACGGTACGTAAATCAGGAAAGACTTGTGGTTTGAAACATGTACATGCAATGTAAATTTTACATTTCCATATACGTGTATGCGTTATCTCAAGTTGACAATGCGCACAAACAACAAGTCGCCGAAAAAGATACTATGGTGTACACTGCTTCTGAAATCAATGAGACACCGACCTCAAACCAATCGACGAGCCAGATGCAGTGAGTGACACGCTGAAACTTTTGAACACGGCTTGTTTACGCCGTAACGAATTTGATTGTAAGAAGATACCAGCCACAACACTCCTGAAATAATCATGTAGTTGATAATAGTTTATACCTATACAAATGTAAAGAGATACAAGTACTTCCAAAGTCCAGAAAGATATTATGTGATTCTCTTGGGATTATACCAGCTAGGGTATATGCTGACTAACCATTAAGCTGACAGTGCTGAGCGTTCGAGTAACCCGGATAAGATTAGATAGATACAATATCTATACAACAGAGCTCTTGACAGTCATTTGACCAGATAAAAATGTCATATGTTCACCTGTTCATTGTTGTTACGTCCTTCAATGACCTTGGCTGTTGATAGGACTTTAAATCAATTACATAGCACTTTCCTCAAACAGTTTTTTCAATAATTTCACACCTGTATTATAGATCTACCTTTACTCCCTATTTGATAAGCGACTAAATGGAATTCAAAAATCTTTGGATAATTGTGGCAGAAGCTAGAAATACGGATGATGGAGCTGTGTTTTAAACTGAAGGATGAACATTTGCTTCTGGAGCAACTCCATGAGAATATTAAAGATTTATGTAAGAGAAAAATGTGGTTAAAATGTGTTGCTGTATTTGTTGGGTAATCTGTTCTAAAGACCTGTTGCTTAATATAAGATAAATGCGATTGCTATGGATTTCTTTTTTTACATGTGGATGTCCAGTAGCTTCGGGTTTGCATTTCGAATGTTTTTGTGACTTTCTATCTCAAACTTGTGATGAGATCGGGCCAAGGTGAGGTCACAAGAACTGGAAAATTCCCCATAAAGAAATCTGAGTCCCATATATTCTAATCTATCTATACTTTAAACCACAGGGGCATGGATCGCTTTACTTGTAATATAAAAAAAAATAGGGGGCTCCTATACTAATATTAGTATAGGAGACCCCTGTTTTTTTTTATATTACAAGTAAAGCGATCCATGCCCCTGTGCTTTAAACATCTGTTCTGGCGCAGATTTATTCCTGTTTTGCAGAAGTACATTTAATTGCCGTATGGCAGTTCTGCAATTGTTTTAATGTGCAGATCGAAAAGTCCATATCAACACCTAGTGGGTTTTTAGTGAGGTAGCGTACCGTATATATCCATTGATAACATTCATAACATGCGTATTTCAATTAAACTGCTTAACGTCTGTATCGTTCCATACAGTCGGGTTCACAGATGAACTTCCTTGACCCCACAAAGTGGGAAAACATTGTACTTCCGCCTAACCCCGTCCTCCCATGTGATCACAGGTCCGGGGTCAGCTCCTTCTTTTGAATTCGGCGCACATGGTATATCGTACCAGGCACCGAACGGCCCGACCATAACACATTCTTCCGGTCCATCATTATCGTTCGGTTGGCCTTCGTTCCAGTTTGTAAACTCACTTTTGATGTCACTCCAAAACACGTAATCATCACTTGAGTTTGTTCCATTAATCCAATGGGGGACACGCGTGCGTGCAATGATTTTCTTCGCAACATCGTTCCATTTTTTATTTGGGATGACCGCTAAATCGGCATGAGCATTCACTCCCTCACATCTTTGTCTGGCCACGTCTTTCGTATCAAAGACACCGTATCTTGGGTAAAACACAGAGTCCTTCAACGAAAATAAACAATATCCGTCCTCGTGTGGGGCAAACGTGTCGCATGCATACTGAATGGACGTTTTCTTACTGGGCGGTTTCTCCCCGCGGACGGTAGATCGGTGCATCAGGCGAAGACCGGAAAATTCAACTGCACTCTGTGACCCCGGGCCAGCTATATGTGCGATCGAAGGGTTATTGAGAAGAAGTAAGTCCTTGGACTTGTATTGATGCGAGTAGATCAGATTTGAACCTAGTATTTTGGCCTCAAGAATGTCTTGTATGTATTTGGTTTCGTCCTTGGACAGGACTTTTTCTTCTCCATTTTCTTGTTTTTGAATGTAGTTCCCTGATAGTATTCCCAATGCTAACATTATTGTATCTTCGCCCGTGTCCGGATGTTTGTATATCAGAGGGTTTACTACACTGGAGTTGTGGCCACTTACAAAAGATATCGTATCCAGGAATGTCCTTTCCTCCGGACTGAGCATATCGACTATCTGTTTCAGTGGTACAAGGAGTGTAGGGCCGTTTTTACTGGCACTAACACAGTATATGATAGTAAACTTGTGAGGGACGGAGACTATATTTCCGTCTACATGCCACCCCTCTGTCCCTTGGCCTTGTAGGCCCTCATTCGGGTCATTCGAGAAATAACCCAGTCGACCATCCGGGACCTTTGGGTGGAATTTCCTGTTTACAGCCGCGGTTTCCATAAATGGTGTACCCATGAGTTCTGTGAAACGTATCTGGTCCTGCCAGCTTAAATCTTGATCCCGAAACAACAGAAATTTGTACATGTACGCTTCCTGTCGGAGTGCACTTGCGCAGCTTGAGTCAAGAGATGAGAGATCCACGTCTACAACTTCTGCACCGAACACGTCCGTCAGTGGTCGTAGAGTGTAACCACAGGAAGGAAACTGGTCCTTACAAACAAAAGAACAACCACACTTGCGTTATAACGGTCGAACGTATTAACATCATTGCAGACCAATCACACGAATGCCTGAATCGATCAGCGCTAATTTAGTAGTGGTTTTTCTTAACTTTGAGTGTAACCAGTTCATTTGTTTTTCTATCATTAGCCGCTTTGATTAACATGTGTTGGTTAACTTAACTATTTCGTTTGAGTTATTCGCATTTAATGATTCAATCATTTTCAAACACACTTGACTTTTCAGTTATTTTTCAACATTATGCGATCTTTTTAGTGAACAGGAGACCTTTTAACCTGTTTCATTTGTAATCTGGATGATGATAAGATTGAGACCAGCGGCCATCTTATATTCCTATTGACACCAACAATAACAGCATTTGGTCAGGGCAGTGACGGGGATATTAGTGCAAAGCCTGTTCAAATTGATCTGATGGATATGAGAACTTTTAAAAGTCCTCCTCCTATCAAGGTATGTTGGGTTTCGATTCAACCCAAACACTAACAGTATCTGATTAGGCCAACAAAAGCATCAAATTAAGTTACCAAATGCCTTGTGGATTTAAGAACAAGTTGAAAATGTCTCGGCAAATCAGTTAACATCTTGTAAGCTCTTATTGTGAATTTTGTTCAAGAAAATACACGATTTGATCAAGATCATTTGAAGGACATTTGCGTATTTGTTTTGCCGAAATAATCCGTAAGCAAAATGAAAATAAACCAAAGCCAATACAGGTATCTTAGATATAAAATGAGCGCCTTGTTAGAACCCCTAGGTGCTTAATACTATCTTAATGCATTATGAGACAAGATCATGCATTAGAGGGTTTTAAGATTTAGTCTTTTTTCATTCCCCTATTGGGTCCCGCCTTCTGCGCCCAGTTTCACTACGCCTAACGTTTATACAAAATGTATTGGTAATTTGATGTGAAAGATCAAATTTGGTGGAATTCAGATGTGCTGTCCATGAGGAGTAGAATTTCACATGTATATGAAAAATTACAGTCGAATGACGGACGCCGCACCACGACATAGTCTTGCATGACATTCAGGTCGAGTGAGCTTAAAAAAATCCCTCAAGATCGTTTTCCTGTTTTATAATTTGAAAAATTAATTAATTTGAGTTGGAGATATATGGTTCCATTTAGAAACGTATTAAGAATCTTTAATATATTACCTCACATCCCACGCCATTTTCCCGGTCCTGGAGCCATACACTTGACGACTGATCACAGTTTGTCTCGGCTGAAGTGACCACTAACTTGACCAAAAGTATGACCGCCGTCCACGTAAATCTCTCCATGTTGTCTGACGACCGCAACTGTGAACGTCCTATTCAGATAAAGACAATTATTTGAGATAAAGACCGACGCGATATATATGCATAGTCATCCAGTTCGTGAACCCGATTTTACTATACATTGCTGTAAAGGGGCTTAAGGAGAAGTCAGAAAATAAAACTTACTATTGTCTTGAATAAAAGGCAGATAGAGGATATTTTTGCTTCTTGGTGAAAAAGTTATATTTTATGAATGATCGAGGTAAACATTTTGCAAGCGCGCAACAAAATATTTATCAGTCCAGTGGTAAAAGTCTTAAAAATGCAGGCCCCTGAAAAAATGTCTGTTCGTATGTAGTTTTGTATTATAAAATGAAGATCGATGGTTGAAAGTTTGCACAGATCTTTACGGTTTAGAGTATATTAACCCTTTCACCCCTAGGTAACTGTAGTAGACTCGACCATACATTCATCTGGATGAGTCCATTATGGTCCACAGTGGTGAAAGGGTTAAGCAAAATATGCTTCAGATACTATACTCCTCATGTCTCCTTAAGCTTCACATGTAAGACCTTCAACAATCTGAAGTTAACAATTTAAATAAATATTTACATTTTATATTTAGGTCATTAGGTAACTAAATGGAGGTCAAAAACAGAGTCGGAGAAAATGAGGTCGCTTTAGACATGGAGCAGGACATGGAAGATATCAAAAATCAAATTATACCTGAAATAAAACAACAGATAACAACAGTAGAAAATGAAAAACTGAGTCTCGAACTATGGGGACGAAAATGGAACCTGGTAATTCGGGGAATTGAGTGGGAATCGAGGGAGGCGCCGCGGAGGGATTTTTTCAAAAAAAACCTAGACATCGAGGATGAGGCTACCAAGGACCTCCTATTTACGGCCGTACATAGGTTACCGAGCGGTCAACCCGGGAAGAAAAACATTATCGTGCGTTTTTCGGCCATCATGGACAGAGACTTTGTCCTAAAACATGCCATTACAAAACTTAGACCAGGATCGGGTTTCGCTGTTGTGGCAGTTTTACCACCATCGCTTGCCAAATTAAGACAAGACCTCCTGGGGAAAAGACGAAATTTACCAGAGGAAGACAGAGGAAGAGAGGAAAAACACAAAACTGGTATACAAAAAATACGCACCATTTTTGACACTTGAAAAGAAAGAACTATTAATGTTTCTAAATGAACATCCTACAATTACATCATGCAACAAATGCATTGATACTCTGTATGTACATTGTCCAGTGAGACATGTGATCGAATTATTTTAGGTAAAAAAAATGACAGATTTAAATTAAATCAATTCTTATTTTGAAGGAATGTATGCACTATTGACTATATATATGTGCTACTGTTTGATATTTAAAGATACTAATGTTCTCCATGGTGCACCTTACGACACAAATGAAATGTTTTCACTGTTAAATGTACGAATACAAAACTACGAAACAGTATTAGCAGCCCTAATTTGATACAAATTAAACCTGCCTATTGGAAAATGTCATGAAAATAAATGTTTTAAAAGTTTGATATATATGTAAGGACTGCACGCATGCACAGCATTGGGAAGTACTACAGTATATATATGACATGTATAACTATGAAAGCACTGGCAATTGTTCCTGTCTAGAATGATTACTAAACGCGGGAAAAAAGTATTGTTAGCTCATCAGAAATCTTGGTACATACTAAACGTACATACCAGTGGCTGACCCAGGCGTGTTGCCCTAGATTTTCCTCTTTTTCATATGGGATTTTCTTCTAATATCAACCATCCTGTGAACTATGATTTTCTATATATGCCTAAGTTTCCCAAACGAGGAGTTCACTGCTTATACTCTAAACAATAGGGGATTAATCCTCTTTTGTTTATAGTAGGGTCTCCAGTCAGGTCAGTGGCGAAGGCTCAACGGACTGTCTACCTAATCGTATTGTTCTAATGTCACGGTGTGGTGATCACCCTGTCCGTTGAGAGAGGATAAAACCATCTGTTGGAATTAGGTATATATGTTAATTGTTATTTCAAAGGTAGAGTCCATTTCATGAGAGATAAACTTGTATTTTCACCTGTGGTTTCATGTACACATGATCACCAGGAGCAATCTGATTAAAATCATATGTTACATGGTTTCGTTAATCAGATTGCACCAGGAGAGATTTACTATACCTGTTAAAAAATGTAAATTTCAAAGACAATAAAGCATCCACCTTAGCAATCTAATTATATCTTCACCTCGCTCCCGTTTTACCTGAGTATGACATCCCGTTTTACGGGAGCGATGTGAAGATTTAATTTTAATTTGATTGCCACCTTAGCATCACGTTATCAGGTGAATAATAACCAATGTTAGCATAAAAGCCTGGCATGAATATATATATCCTTTTTAACAGGTATTGCCCTTGTACATATGCATGCATACAAATTCACAATAAAAGACAAACAGTCAAATCATAATTTATATTTATGACAAAATAAATCAATATTGAATTGCCAAAATGCTCGCCTAAACTACATGCACATGAAAGGCATGACACAAACATCAACATTTTAACCAAAAACCTACATCTTTACCATTGTTTCAGAGAAATTTTTAACACTCGCTCCGCTCGGCCATCATAAAATATAAATACTCTATGTTATGAAATATAACCTGGAATAATACCGCAAACTCAGAAAACTATGCTATGCCTTATTCGATCTGTTTGTCAATGGAAATAGTGTCCGATCCATTCTAGCTTTCTACGCTTGGCTGTGCTTGAACAAGTTTAGTATAACATCTTCAGAAAGAAAGAAAATCGCCTCTCTCTGCTTGGCAGGGAAATTATAATTGTCACAATCTCAGAAATAATAAGTTCTATATATTGTTTGGTGTCAGAAAGTAGTATACATGCACAACCGACATGACAATTATAATTTATTAGTTTTTTTGAGTCTTTTTCTGAGTTTAAAATTTTGGGCAACACCCAAAATTAAATCCTGGTCCCCCCCTGCATACATATACGTGCAGGCCATGGGTCTCTATTTCATGATGCTGGTCTCCGCTTGACTGATATATCTTAAAAATGACCATAAACAGTATGAAATCTTCAATGTGCGCAAATTCTTAAACCGGAAATAGGATATATGATATGCACATGCACAGTCTAACAAATAGGGCAGCCCCCATGCATCACTTTATGAACATATCGCGACCAGTGGGACTCTTCAAATAGGAGGGGATTTAACTGTACACGCTGGAGCACCTATGATAGAGCAAGCAGACATGTTAAATTGGCCAGATATTGAAAAAGAGGACGAAGCTAAAGCGTCACAGTTGTGACGGACCGTCAGCGGCGTACAGAGTATCGTGTGCTAACTTTATGTAAATGGAATGTCAGAAAGCTTGTTTTGGACGAACAATATGATTGGAATGTCATTACTAAATGCATTTGATGTGACCTCTATTTACACCGCATTCTCTCGCGAGTCTTGTGCATTTTCCGGCAAGAACTCTTCGAAGGGGAGTAACTCCTGGATGGTCGCGATAACATCTATTGACGGTAAATAAAACAGTAATACACACATTAGTCTTTTATTCTCGTACATTTTAATAGGCCAATTGATAAGATACCGATAAAGTCCATTATGGCTAAACATTGCGCCCGCTTTATCACAAAATGCAACTTTAACTGTACTGTTACAACAAGCATAACATTCCAATTCTCGTTAGGGCTCAACAAAATGATATCGGACCATATATGCATCTCGACCTGCCATATAACTTATACACACCATTTGCGCACTATACAATATGTCTGCTTTAACGTTTTACACAACCTCATCTCACTATCCTTGTCACGGTCATTGTAGTAAAATAAATAAAGGATTTATCTGAACTTTGCTACTCGAGACAAAAATTAAAATCTATTTGTAGCGGCTGTCTTAACGTTTCAATAATAAAATATATTTTGATTTAACAATAGTTTGAATAAATGTATGTCAAATGCAATATAGACTTTAGTATGCCTACAGTATAAGCTTAGTAGTCTACAAATGTAGGTCAATATAATTTAATTAGATTAATAGATACACGTGCACGTATATCAGGGTTGTTTAATTTAAATACACCAGGATATATTTGAAATTGTATGTGCGCTTTGTAAATCATGATCAAACGACACCGGTGAGCTTTCAAATAACTTTTAGTTTTGTTTTGGTTTTTGTTGGGTTATTCCCGTAATGATTGTCATTTTTTTGTGTAATTTATTGTCTAATACAGTTATGATTAATTTATTATTACGATCGGCGGCGTGGCATACGTGTGTGAATAGAACTCAGCATATGAAGAAGCGTCTTCAAACTATATATCTGAAATTAATCGATTAAGTAAGCGACATCAGAAGATATGTTATTCATATAACTATGATACACCTTTATACCAAATTTCACTTAGATATATGAAAAAATGTCCGAGTTATCGTGAATTTATTATTTTACTATCGTCGGCTTGGCACACGTGTGTTAATAAAACTGTACAGATCAAGAAGTGTCTTCAGACTTTACCTCTTAAAATAATTGATAAAGTAAGCGACATCATGAGATATGTTATTCATATGACTTTGATACAACTATATACCAAATTTTAATTTGATTTGTTGAAAAATGATTGAGTTATCGTGAATTTAATTCCTACAATGTACAGATATTAAGCTATGCGCCGTGCCATGTGTGCGTAGGGTAGGGCTTCGCATAGGCAGAGACGTGTATGTGTTATACGTCTCTGGCATATGGGTAAACACAGTTAGAATATATTGCTATATAAACATTGAAACAACTTTAATCAGCTGTGTCAAGAATAACATTATTGTATTTATTGAACAATTTAGATTTTAACTGTAACCGATTAAGAATACATTTAACAATGTGTTTAATTATCAATATTTAATTATTATAACTAATATAGTGGGAGGGGGATGCGTAGTTTTCGAGTTTCTCAGGACTTTTTGAGAAAGATGGTGGCCCTGAAAAGGGCCGTTTAAG